CCTCGCCTCACAGTTATATTGTAAGTGAAAAATTGTCTGAAATAAATCCTTGACATTGAGGTGAAGACGTTTTATATTGGCCGCAATATATAGTCAACACGGCGCGACACCGAGCGCGATACGTGACGGTGTGCTCTCGGGCGCGTGCACAACAATAAAATAGTTCCAGCGTTACTGCCGACAGCGATGCTCATACAACCGTATGCCTGTGCTCCTACTGTTTGGTTACTCAGTTGTAAGCACAGAGCTCTGCACAGAATATGCACAGATCAGTACCAAGTTTATTTCAATAAACACATGCCACTCGTGTATGTACCATTCGCAAAATATGCTCCAAAAGCTAAATCTGTAATATTGCGACGCGGGCTCAAAGTTATTTGAATGAATCACACACGAGTTTTTATTCATCTGTAGGTTAATATGAGAGGAGAGTAAATGTGGAGCCGTATCACAGAGATAAATTAAGAAAAAGGACCTCGGACTAAAATTTAGAAATATTTTGTTGAATGCAGAAGTATTATTATTAAATTAGATCAAGTACAGCGGCGATTAGCATTCATATTGAATAATTTTACGAAGTTTCTTGTTAAGAGTCTATTTATGAAACAAAAAATGTCGCTCACAAACTCCGACCACATTTCCCTTAAACATAAAGTACGATACAGAACTTACAGATCGGCCTCAAAAACTTGATTAAAGTTGGTGGCAATAGAAGTGGGGGCGTGACGGCAATGATTGATTTGCAGATTTGAAACATTGCGAAATAGCAGCCGAGTAATATTGACGATAAAATAATTATGAAAAGAGTGTCCCGCGCCGGTTGTGGGCCGGATCCGGGCCGGATGTTGAGGCCGAGGCCGGGTATCGATCGCCGATGGAAATGTACTCGCTTTATAGTTAATCACCTTCCTAACACCTATTGCGGGCCCGAGGACATTCATATAATGACTCTGTCCATATAATGCCACTAATCAATACATATATTCCAATTACTCGTTAATATATTTTCTTTCTACATAGTTTCATGGCACAACCATACCAAGTAGCCTCACCTTATGTGAAAAAGTTGTTTGTAACAAAATAATTTCATACATATTTCTAAACTTGTAATATTTCCTAAGCACCGATCATTAAGACGGCCGTCGGTAAAACATTTATTTTAATTATACCTGTTAACTGGTAATTTGTAAGATGCTTGTTCACGGCCGCGGGCTCCCGCCGCGAGAAATTAATAAAAATCTTCACACCTATCTTTATTTGTCTGGTGTTTATACCCAAGTATGTTGTAAAATACCTCAGTATGAGTGTGTGAAGCTTGTATGTCTCAATTTCATGTAAATAAAGTCATTTCAAAGTACCTATGTGTTGTGTTTAGTATTGTGAAGGAGTGCGGCGCGAGTACGCGAGCTACAAACAGACCGAGATTTACTTTAAACGGAATACAATAAGTTTAAAACTTACATAAACACGTATCTCATTACTCCGCGGAGCATGTTGCGGTACCTTCAGCGGCTTTGGTATAAAGCTGATGTTCCATTCGAGAAACATCTTCGAATAACTTCACGATTTACTACAAAACTACTCGAACATTTATGTAACTATGTTTAAATATTGTGTGATCCACAAATTGTTGTTCCGGATCTGGGTGATGTGTATGTGAAATTGTATGTTTGTAAACGCACCCACGGCACAGGAGAAAATCCTAGTATGGGGCAATGTTTTATAACAAAAGATATTATTAAAAAATTGACGCAGCTCGGATGTGTATCAAGTTTCCCGTTTTAAGTTATTATAATGTTTATCAAATTCATCATGGCCAGAAAATAAAATTGAATCTATATTTTTCGATTGCCGACGGCAGCGACTAAGTCTGCCTAATATAAATGTACGAATTTAAAACTCTGTGGAATTTATTAAACGCATTTATGTAAAGTAGTTATTTAGGACAGGGTCGCGACATGTTGCATTGTCTTTAACATATCATTGATATTTGTGTCGGTTTCACACATTAATAACAACCGTTTCTCCCGTCAACAGTCCGCAGTCGGCAGGCGCCGACGGCCCCACAGTATGTTACTTCATTGTTTATTGTGTTTAATCATTTTTTAACCAAATGAAAGTAATATACTTTATGTAGTATGTATCTTTGTCAGTTCCATGGGTGGATAAACATTTCAAGCTATTTCCAAAATGCTTTCAATAATTGATTTAGGGATGTAATTCAAATTGTGTTTCAGAAATAGAACCGACTGTTATTACTGTAAAAATGGGAAAATTTCTTTTTTTTTATATAAGTTATTTTTTCATGTATATGCTAAAAATATCAAATGTTTATTCGTTCATGTTTTACTAGGCTTTTGCATACATTACGTGATTGTGCACTTTGCTATACATAAAATTCAAAGAAAATTATCGTTTATGACATTTAAAAATATTTATGAAATAGTTGAGAACATACCTATTTCTGAAAAAACTTGCATGAAAATATGTTACTCGTAGAATCAGAATCTTAATTATTTATAAGTATATGTAGGTCAGTCGATAATTATTGTTTAAACAAGATCTTAAAAAATTGTCACTGCGCTTTGTTTTGTCAATTGGCATTTAAATAAGTTAGACTAAGTTAGTTAAGTTAGAAATAAGTTAGACTTTTTTCATTAAATTTACATGATATGTCAAAATGTACTGTGTTAATTCAGTAACTGGAAACAAAAATGAATTAACATGTATTACGTATTTAGATGAAAAGGTAAATTTACAGACTTTTGTCACTAAGTTATTTATATATGTGTCTGTATGACTTGTGATTTGTTTACATATGTAAACATATGTATGTTCCATGACACCCGCCGGTGACGGAGAACAATGTGCAGTGAGATGTGAGTTCGTACCGACATCTTCACTCACACAACGAATTATAGAATGAATGTAACCCAAAAAATGTTTACGGATAAAAATATCAAAAGATAATGTTTTACCGATTTTTTTTTTCTGAGAAATACGTTAGAGTAGCATATTACTTCAATTACTCGTCACGCGGGTGGAGTAAGACCACAATTAATATTTAAAATAAACCAAGCAGTAATCGTCGTCGTCCTCAGTCTATACCTTTCGCCTACTATTGAACAAAGGCCTCTTCTCCTACGGAGAAGGTTTAAACTTGAATCACCACGCTTGCTCAAGGTGATTTCAAACTTATAACTGGAAATTATTGGTCCAAGTTTCCTCAGGATGTTTTCCTTCACCATGTATGCTGGTGGTCTCTAAATAATCATAGCGACAATGGTTTTTTATAAAACTGGCTCTTTTAAACTGTGATCTCCAACCTTTCTAAACGTGGAGATATGATTAAAACTATCTCATATAGAGGTAGCATAACAGAAAACTCTCACAGATTCCTGATGATGATGATGATGATTTATATAATGTTACGGAGCCGGTCAAGTCAGGTTCAAGATGCCGATAATTCTATATTTAAACCCGCTTGTTTATATTTTAAAAATAATTTGAACCTTATTTTATAGTGCGTAGGAGTATGATTAGAACACCTCCTATTAATAACATAATCAGCAAAATGTTAAAATTATAAATACTCATCGTCTCCTCACGCGGGTCCCGCGGGAAATTTAATATATCTTAGAGAAGATGTTCAGTTTCTTGTGAAAGAAAGTTTGGAACTTATTGGGAGTGTCAATTTCAAATATTTACAAAGTGAAGGGAACGACTTCCGTCCGTTCAGGCTGTTATCTAACTGAAACTTCCAATTATAATTACAAGTTACAGTGAGAGCCAGGAAGCACTTCCCAGTACTAATGACGCTTTATTAAATCGATTTAATGACAAGTTTTGGAACCGTCACGATACCGTCTAATTAATATTCTAACTGCTCATTGATTAATTCCATTAACATCGTAAAAACTTTTGGAAACTAAAAGAAATATCTATCGACCGTATTTCTACAAGTTTTAATTGATGTTTCAACCTTTTTTCGAATTATAAAGATTATTCTTTAAGCTCAAATACGGAACAAAATGTTTCTCGCAAAATATTATTGCAATCAAGTCCGGATCAGTAAATACAAAATGGTGCTACGGCGTAGCACATGCTACGACGTGTAGCATTTCCGTAGCGCGCACGTAGTATGTTTGAGGAAGGGATTCGTACAAATAAAATGTTTAAATTCAAAACACAACGAGACACGTTTGTAAAATAGAATTAAGTATATTTAATTTTCAAAGTCAATTAGTTAATTTGGAATAAAATCTTTTTGAAGAATTTACTTCAAACAGAGCGGCCGAAACCAATTACAGCTATAAAAAACGTTACTCGTGAAGAAATTAGTGAGCAGCGGACTGCGATGTGCCAGCCGATTGATTTACTGAATCCAATGTTCAGAGCTTAATTAATCATAACACCTTAATCAATGCAATTAAACTTAATTAATGAATATTGCTTTTAAGTGAAATAATAGTTTTACATTTATCTATAATTGTAAAACTATTTGGATAACCCAAACCGTTGTACCCTCAGTTAGTTGTTGAGTTAATGGTACAACATGAACGGGTTCCCGCAGGAATATTATCGCGGGGGCAGTTACTGAGGACATCGCTTTGTCTGAATTAATTTACTAAACAACGACTGTAATGATAGTTACATTATTGTCAGTGGGACCATTCCAAATATTCGGTAAATTCGGTATTTTGGGTAAAATATAATATTTTTTATCTATTTTTTGATAATTTTATTTTTTGTAAGTAATAAACCATATATTTTTATTATTTTAATTAAAGATTTTACTTATTCCCTATTTTTGTAAATTTGTGTGTGTGTATAATTTTGTTTCTCTTTTACTCAAAAAATACGTATGTTTTTTTTATGTAATAAATTGTGTAATAAGTCGAATTAAAGAAAAAGGCAAGTTTTCGACGGTTTTTATGGAAATTGAACCATTTTAGCCTAGGCAATAGTGGTAAAAATCATCATGTGTAATGTGAACTTACCGTGATAACTCGACGTAAAGTTTTGCTGTTGGATTGACGAGCACCTTGCTGTGAGCTGCGTTGGTGACTGACGGCCTTCCGAGGGTTGGAGCCTTTTATAGTGGTGGCTGCGTGCGGGGGCGAGGGGCGGGGCCAATGCGCGTTACTCCCGATCTCAACTCCTCCCCATTTTGATAGCAACCTGGTGACGTAGACGTGACATGACGTCACAGACATCATTGCTGACTAGGCTATTTCTGTTGTTTAAGTTGAACAACAAATTACAATAATTGAAGGTCCATTTCAGGTATCAAAGGACATTTTTAATACGTAAAACATATGTAGGATTTCAATATATTCGTAACAAACAGTAAAAAACATATCTGAAGGTAAATACGTAAGCACCGACTGTTACCTTTCGTTTCGTACTCGTTTCTTTGTTCATCGTTTTCAGTTTGCCAGCACTCCTTTACATAAATGTTTTCAATTAAACTTAAACGCACCACAATGCTGGACAACGTTTTTAAAACACAAATCTTAAGCAAACTAGGTCATTTCTTTGTTATTTGCGGAACAATCACAAAATGTAGAATTTTGTGTAAAATTCTGTAGAAAAACAATTGCGTATACTTTTTGTTTCGGTAAAACATTTGCAAAAAACATGTACTTGGAGTAGGCAGAGATGTTATTAATACATAATATTTTTCAATTTTGTTTCTCATTTAAAATTGCTATGCGTTGTTAAACATTGATTTCAAAACCGATTTTTGCGTAATTGAGACATGTTTTGAGCTTGAAAAATTGAATAATTTGCTTTAACTTTGGCCGTTGCACTTGCGATAACTATGATAAGATTTTCTCCCGTGTCGTGGATGGGTTTATCAATTTGCAGAAAACACAAATAGTATATCACACCTAAAAACATCAGCAACTTGCTCGACAATGTAATCATTTAGTTAAATTAGTATATTCCTTATAATATAGCTCTGATTAAGTAAATTTACCTACGTCATATGGTCTACAAGTTGATTGTAAAACCAAGTTGGCTTTTTGAACGTATCCAAATAAATATATCCTCATTCACAATGTCTTGAAATATCCTGCTTACCTCCAATTGATTAAAAGATTTGAAGATTTAAAGTGAACTGATACAGCTTCATGACAAAGTTTATACACATTGTGAGACGATGTACAGATCCTCGCAGTGATTACTTATCGATCAACCAGTATTACAGGAGCCCCTATAAAGTCTCCAAACGGTGAAAGAGTTCGAAAGTGACTCGCAGTATTAAGACGTTGAATATTTCCAATTTCAAATTTTCCAATCAATACTGCTCACTGCTTCATCGTCCTGTGATGGAGTTATAATATAAAAACAATTATACATATATGCCAATAAATGATTGTGTTGAAATTTGATTACAAATATATAAAAACATGTAAATAACGTTTTTATCATGAATTTCAAGTCCCTGAACTTGAAATTTTATTGCAAGATTCCACATTACACACAAACAAACTTTTACACAAAATAATAATAAATACATAAACTATTAGTGTAGTGGTTACAAATGCCAAACGTTAAAAACGGGTGAATTATCACAAACTATCAATGACAACATTAAAACTGAAATATAGGGTTATCATATCACCGAGGACTAATTTTTGTATAATGTATATATTTCTAATATACTTATTTTTATTACATTCTTTTCGTCAGTGGAATATAACTGAGGAACCTAAAATTGATCACCTGATGGCCAGATCTCGACACTACCAGTAGTCAATCGTAACACCAAAAGAGTTACAAGAGCATTGATGCTTGCGTTTAGGGATTTAAGGACGGAAGGAAGGGATTAAGCTTCATGTAACCTCACGCACACGACGAAACACAACGTAACTTTTGTTTCATGCCAGTATTACGTGATGTGTGTGTTATCATTCCGATTGGCCCATTAGTGCCGAAGTGCATTACACTTTAAACTTGTGAATCTTGATTGGTAGAACCTAAGATGTTAGTTTTCAAGAAATTTACACTACAGGAATTTAGGCTGAACTATTATATGTATAGCATTTAGTAAGTCACAGAGTAGTCGCAGTAACATTACACCTGCACTTGTCTTTCTCGAGATGTTTCGTTCTCACAAACGAATGTGGTTGACTCAGGCTCACACTTGCGGCACAGCTCTGGATCTAAGTTAAATGTTACAAGGCTTTGTGAGTTGTCTTTACGAGAGTAAGAGTACTACGTGTTGCTATAGCTAAGACATCGAAGGAAATTTGCATTTGTTGCCTGGGGTTGTACGATATTATCTTTCCTTAATTTTGACTTATTAAGTTCAGTAATTTTGCTTTCTGTGCAGCAGTTATATAATTAGAAAAAATACTTCAATCAGATTATATATGTATATATAGAAATTCTTAACACTATATCGTTCTACAATTAAAATCGATTGTGCAGTAATCTATGATAGCGTGTTCGTCAAGCGTCGCCATAGTTATTCCTGCTTCACAAGGACTATTGTTTGAATCCCTTGAATTACACTTTCTTATACCTGAAACTATTATTTTCAGATCACACATACATACATACTTACACTTATTCTGTTTAAAATTCGAATTTCTGATTCAATTATAGTAGTGCAGTAACTAAAAATTTTTTTCATAATGTTTCATCTTTATGTGCATATACTTAGTAAATGTATGTATGCACATATACATGTATGTATATTTAGTACAGCATATAGTTATACAGTGGTCAGTGGAGTGGCGACCAGCTCGTAACTGTTAACGGCTCGTAAACTGGTGATTAATGACTGCCGGCGACTGTTTCACATCACACATCATTGTTTCATGACTGAAAGTATTCCCCTCCGTACTTTACGACCATTTAACTTATATTACCAATTGTAGTCAATATTACTGCGGTTAGTCATTTTCCATTATTTGTAGCTTTATTTTATAAATCCAAACATTTCAAAGAAGGTTGTCAGAAATAACAGTGCATAATTTAGCGCGACTCTCACATATGATTTTCATTTCTTTACCTGTTTAAGCATTGGACTGATACTAAACATCTCTGATTTACAGCACTGTTGCTGCATTGGCAAATATCTAGCACAATTTTATCGTATGTACACTTCGCTCTCGTTATACCGAAGTATTTTTTACGATTAATTGCTTTCTATATTAATATTGGCAGATAATTACATCAAGTATTACAAGCAAACGGCTAAAGCAAATGAATAGTGATCATTTATTTGTAACAAAACTAAAACTCGATTAAAATAGTAGAGATGTTACGTCGGTGCTTTGTTGTACGCCGGAGTCTCTAAGCAAAGAGAATAATTAACGAAATATATCAATGCGAATTGAAATTGTCTCAGACTTGTAAAGAGCCTTTTACAAGAGCATTATATAAATCTGCCTAAATACCGGATTATTCAACTATCATTCATTTAGATTTAGGGCGAGGACTGTCGTGATGTAAGTTTTATATAATGTTTAAATACAAAATTTGTTTTGTCGTATATTGTTACAAATGTGTTAAGAAAAATACAAAAAGATGTTCATGTATAGATTACGCAAAACACTATCATCATATATTGAAAACAAGCAGCCCGCTTCGCACGGGTCCAACTATCTCGCTATGAAAGTGTCATTATTTCCTGATCTTCCCCTCTACTATTCTAATATTTTCTTCGTTAAGAACCTTCTCTTGACAATAAAAAACACAACAAAAAAAAAGAATTTGCAAAATTGGTCCAGGCGTTGTTAAGTTATGGGCTTACCAACACATTTTGCTATCCATTTTTATATATAATGACTTACGTGAGTTAACTGAGAATAACTCTACTAGTTTCAAGTATTCAAGTTCAAATTTAGTTAGACATAGTCTCACAATAGTGACTATTAAAACATATCATCAGTATCACCAAAAAATCGTGGAAATAGAACCTATAAGCCTATCGAAACATCATTGGATTTCTTAGCATGGTACATGCGCTACGGCGTAGCAGATGGCTACGAGACGCGACCGCCTTAAAATTTGATCAGTACTTTAAATATTAAAGGTAAGAATGTGATGCGAATGATCATGTGTAACAAGTAAAGCCGCAGTATTGTGTAGTGTAGTGGAACCTCCTACATTTCGAGTCATCGACACAAACTATCGATAATTAAAGTGAGCAGTTAACTTTACGATTGCTTCTTTTTGGTTTACGCGATACCACAGGGCTGGTGCTCCATGAACTTATTATTTAGCCATGAAAATTACAATTTATAATAAAATAACAAGCCAGTAGGCTAAGGAAACATTTTCCTAAAGTCCATTATATAATATGGTAGCAGTAGTCCTGTGAATTGTCTGAATTGTTATCGGTTACATTCAGCTGTGGACCATTTTACGCTGATGGTGATGATGGCTATATGGCTAGATATAACATAGTTTTAGTTATGTGACTGTATACAGATAATTCACGAGAATGTAAATTTGACGTAAGTTATTATATCAACATAATATAACATAGCTACGTATATAGCCACGTATTACTTGAGTGGCAACCCTATTTGATGGCTTCCTCGAAGTGGGCAGTTAAACGCAATTGACTCAGTTATGGGCATACGATTAAATACTTTATTTTGTTAGTGCTCGGTATATAAGCGCTCCACTCCTGCCTTACCTCGCAGTACCCGCGGCCCGGGCTGAGGACGCATCCACGTAGGTAGAGAAACATGGAAATACATTTTAAAAGGAAGATTTAATACTCTTTTGTTCGTGTACAGGGTGTAGGTGTCACTTTGCCAGTATAATTTTAGTTGAAATAGATTTTTAAATAAAATACGAAAACAAATATTTTCCAAAATAAAATGCAATTATTTTTTATTGATTGCAATGCTAACGGTGTTTACTATATTGGTACTTGTAGTAGTGTACACGAACTCAGCCACTTTGTAATTAAAACGATGTGCATTTTTAAAACATTCCGTAGTTTCTGAGAAAAACTAAAATATCAAAACTCGAAGCGAAGTATTCTTTATGAAATTCTTGTGAATTCCACTGGAATCGAGTGAGAAGTAGC